GTATTCGACACACTTCTATACAAAAAAACAGTCTGAAGTAAGACATGAAAATGACAGAGTAAGAAAACAACAAAGTAGAGGAAACCTACAAGTAAGAGAGAAAGAAAGACAGGTTGATAAACTTAGGAAATCAGCAAACCGCATGTGTGATAAATATCGACAAAAAGAGAGACTAGCTAATACTATCAGGTGGCAAAATATAAGAGCTGAATCTCCTGTTAGAAAGAAGAAACAGACAGCAAATACTGCCTGGCGGCGGAAATTAAGAAAAGACTATTCCATTAGAGGTAGAGAACAACAGTCAGATACTGCTAGGCGCCAAAGAGTAAGGGAAGACCCTTCTATTAGAGGTAGAGAACAACAGTCAGATACTGCTAGGCGCCAAAGAGTAAGGGAAGACCCTTCTATTAGAGGTAGAGAACAACAGTCAGATACTGCTAGGCGCCAAAGAGTAAGGGAAGACCCTTCTATTAGAGGTAGAGAACAACAGGCAGATACTGCTAGGCGCCAAAGAGTAAGGGAAGACCCTTCCATTAGAGATAGAGAACAACAGGCAGATACTGCTAGGCGCCAAAGAGTAAGGGAAGACCCTTCTATTAGGGGTAGAGAACAACAGGCAGATACTGCTAGGCGCCAAAGAGTAAGGGAAGACCCCTCCAATAGAGGTAGAGAACAACAGGCAGATACTACTAGGCGCCAAAGAGTAAGGGAAGACCCTTTCATTAGAGGTAGAGAACAACAGGCTGATACTTGTCGGCGCCGAAAAGTAAGGGAACACTCTCCCATTAGACGTAGTGAACAACAGGCAAATACTGCCTGGTGTAACAGGGTAAGAGAAGAATCTTCTGTTAGACATAAAGAGCAACAGGCAGATACAAGAAGAAGAAAAATAAAGAGGGAATATTTTGAAATAAAGCAAAAAGAGACTGAGAAAGAAAGGACAAGAAAACGTAAGATCAGACAAGATCCTATGATAAGAGAAGTTGAAAGAATAAAAAAACAACAACAAAGAAGGTATAGAAGATTTTGTATCCGGGAGAAAATTTCACGAAAACAAAGAAGAAAAAATGCATGGTTCAAAGAACAATACATGATTGGTAAGATTAAAATTGCTGCAAATTTGGGTGTGATTTCAGTGCACCTATCTGCCAATTTTTTTAGACTACTTTTGTTCAATCCCCATTTAAAAAATATTCCAGAACTCTGCTCAAAATGCAACATTTCCTCACATAACCTAGAAGACTTCTATATATGTCACACTTGTCACACTTGTTTGTCATACCAAACAAAATACCACCTTTAAGTGCTGCCAACAATGTAAACTTCCCACCACTACCTGAAGAATTAAAGGTGAACAGGTTAGAAGAAAGATTGATATCACCTGTTAATGTTTTCATGCAACTCAGAGAACTACCTAGAGGAGACCAAAGGAGTATACGTGGTAATGTTGTGAACGTCTCAGCTGACAACATTTCAACTGTGAACATTTTGCCAAGACAACTAGACTGTACTAACACAGTACCAGTTAAGTTAAAAAGAAGACTGCGTTATAAGTCGCATTACATGTTTGAAAATGTTCGCCCAGAAAAGTGTTTGCGAGCCGCAAGGTACCTTCTAACAAAAACACTTTTCAGAAACTTTGTAACTGATGAAATAAATGAAAATTGGTTACAAACAGAATCTTCAAATACTACAGCAAAAGAACCTTCAAATATAAAAGAACATGAGTCTGAAGATAATACATCGTCACACCAAACTTCAACCCAATTTAACGAAAATGACAATGAAAGTATTCTCGGCTCTTTATGCGGTAGTACTGAACCTAACGTACAACAGAACTCCAACCAAAGTATTCAACTTGAAAGTAATGACATGACACAAAATACCGTCAAAACAGGAACAGTTTTGTATGATGGTAACAAACAAGACACAGATGACAATGGAAATACAAACGATGAAGATTCTTGGTCAGAAGGGGATAATGAAGCAATTTCAAACCGATTTAACGACAATGACAATGAAAGTATTCTTGGCCCTTAATGCAGTAGTATTGAACCAAATTTACAACAGAACTCCAACCCAAGTATTCAATTTGAAAGTAATGACATGACACAAAATACCGTCAAAACAGGAACAGTTTCGTATGATGGTAACATACAAAACACAGTTGAAAATGGAAATACAAACGATGAAGATTCTTGGTCAGAAGGGGAAGATGAAGCTGAAATGTTTTCTTTTGGTGAAATGGATACCATGCTCCATCCTGATATCACCACGGCTCACTACGGTAATACACTGAATGTTGCTCCAAGTGAAGGTAATGTACCAATCAGCATATTCTCTGAAAACATTGAGGAACTGGCATTTCCCACAATATTTTGTGGTGAAAAGCGCCCATCAAACAAGGAAAGAACAGTTGCTGTCAAATACTCTGATATATGCAAAGCAGAACTTAGAAATTGTGATCGCCGAGCAGCTGCAAATATAACAAATATCTTCTTCAAAGCAAGAAAATTGCAGTTGAAACAAATACAGGATAGTGTGTGGCTTTCTGTTAAGAGAAACAAAACAAAGGGTAAACAATACACAGCCAAAGATATGAGGAACAAAGATATAGTGGAAAATATGGTAAAACTTGATGAAGGTTTCAGAATTTTTAGAACCTTACGTGGATCTCCACCATATTGGGAGAGTGCCAAAAAAGATTTGTTTTCTATGATAAGGCAATTGGGACTTCCCACATGGTTCATTAGCTTGTCTGCTGCAGAAACGCATTGGAAGCCACTTTTGCAAAGCTTACATAAAATCTCTGAAGGACAGATGCCCTCTGATGATGAAATAGAAGCCTTTACCTGGACTGATAAAACGAAACTAATTTCTTCTGACCCAGTATCTGTAGCTCGTTACTTCGACTTTCGTGTGCAGCAGTTCTTTTCATTATTTCTTTACAGTCAGTTAAATCCTGTTGGAAAACTACTAGATCAGTTCTACAGAGTAGAATTTCAACACAGGGGATCGCCAGATATACATGGGCTTTTGTGGGTTGATAATACTCCTAAGCTTGATGAAGTGCCTGATGATGAACTATGTAATTTCATTGACAATTACCTATCTACACTTCGTTCTGACCCACTTTCCAAATACCAACTACATCGACACTCCCACACTTGCAAAAAAACGGAACAGACAAGAGTGTCGTTTCAACATACCATATCCACCCTTACCAATCACCATGGTTATACGCCCTTTAGTTGATGTTAATGAAGACATTATGTCAAAAGCGCAAGAAGACTTTCAAACCATCCAGACTGCTCTGAATGACCTAGGTATGGGGGCAGAAATAACTATGGATGAATTCCTTTTTTCCTTGAACATGAATCAAGAAGACTATATATTGGCCATCAGATCCAGTGTATCTGAACCTAAAATATTCTTCAACAGACAACCTGATGCAGTCCGAGTGAATGCTTTTTCTCCTCACATACTGGCTGCATGGGAAGCTAATCATGACATTCAGTTTGTAACAGATGCCTATGCCTGTGCGATGTATATCATCAGCTATATTAGTAAAGGACAAAGAGGAATGAGTGAATTATTAAGAAAAACGTGTGAAGAGGCAAAAGCAAACTGGTAGTGACATTCGCTCACAGGTGAGAGCTATTGGAAATAAGTTTTACCAGACACTCAGAGATGAGTGCTCAAGAAGCAGTTTACCTGACCTTGCAGTTACCATTGAGAAGATGTAGTAGATCATTCATTTTTATTAACACAAGTCCACCAGAAGAGAGACCTTTCATCTTGAAATCTGAAGAGCAATTGAAAAAATTACCAGACGATTCAGAAGACATTGCTGCTGAAAACATTATAAGCCGATATACGCAACGACCAAGATCTCTCAACACAATGTGTTTGGCTGATTTTGCAGCCTGGTACGATTTGAACACAACAAAGAAAAAAAAGATTGCAAACAAAACATGGACATACCCGATTCAGAAGAAGAAGGTAATAGAGATGATGATGCATCAGCTGATGAACAACACACACTTTACAGTAAAATAACTTTACAGAATGGTACATCAATGAGAAAAAGGCGAATGAAAAAATTATAAGGTTCGTAAAGTACAATGAGAAAACAGATCCAGAAAATCACTTCAGAGAACTCCTTCTGCTTTTCACACCTTGCAGTTATCAGACTGCCTTGATGGAGACTCTTCATCTTATCAAGAACAATATATGTCAGTAAAAGAAGAGAATGATTTGAAAAGGTCAGAATATTATAGCATTGCTCAAGACCAAGAAATTGAAGCTGTACACGAAGATGACAATGAGATGTTTGCAGACGTTGCTCCGAGTACACAACACAGAAATGATATGGATGAAAACAGAAACATGTCATGAAAAAGAAGACCAGTACATCAATTATGATATCGGAAGAGATATAGGAATGTCTGATCAGCCTGGATCTGATTTCAGAGAGGAAACAATCAGAAACAGAATTTCTGATGAACAGTTTAGACAAGATGTTCGCTCTCTCAATAGAAAACAGCGTGAATTCTTTGATCATGTCTTGATGAAGGTAAAAACAACTAATGAACAGTTGTTCCTTTTCCTCACCGGAGGTGCTGGTGTTGGTAAGACAAAACTCACCAAGACATTGTATCAAGCCCTGTTGAGACATTATAACTCTACTGCAGGGGGATAATCCTGAACAGATCAACATACTGCTCACTGCTCCAACTGGAAAAGCTGCCTTCCTAATCGTGGAAAATACTATACACTCGGTTTTCAATGTTCCTGCAAATCAAGGTTTTAGATACAAATCAATGACTGCAGAAAAAGCTCAATAGTATGAGAACAAAACTTGGAAATTTAAAGTTTCTGTTCATTGATGAAATATCTATGTGTGGATCTAACCTCTTCTACTACATTGACAACAGAATAAGAGATATCATGCAGAAGGACAATGTACTTTTGGTGGTGTCAGCGTTTTATGTATTGGGGATCTCTTCCAATTAAGTCCAGTTAGAGACAAATGGATATTTCGTGCTGCCTCTTCAGTTTGATGATTTTGGAATTTTATCTCCCAACATCTGGGTCGACCATTTCCAAATTTTTGAATTAACAGAAATTATGCGCCAAGCAGAAGATAAAACCTTTGCCACAGCCCTTAATAATGTCAGAGAAGGCAAACAAACTAATATTGACATGCAGTTGTTACAGTCTCGATTTGGTCCAAGAAACAACAATAGAAGACTACAGTACCACTCACATCTTCTACTATAATGCTGCTGTTCAACATCACAACACTACAGCATTCAACAACTGTACTAGTCATAAAACTGAATGTAGTGCATCAGACATAGCTATTGATAATGTTAATCTTGCTGTAAAAAAAGGTGTTAGATTTGGCACCAACTCGTGCAGGAGATAGTATGGGACTGGCAAAATCTCTTCTGATTTGAGTCGGACTTCGTGTTGAGTTGACACTAAATCTTGATGTAGAGGATGGGATTGTTAATGGGGCAACTGGTGTTTGCAAGTTTATTACATGCAATGAAAACAATGTACCCCAACTAATTTGGGTTCTTTTTGACCAACAAATCTTAGGAAAACAGAGGCGTATTTCGATGAAACATGTCTATCAAGGTATTGATCGTTCATGGACATCTATATCACGAGTATCAAGACAATTCCCTGTTGGAAAATACAAGAATGTGAAAGTTCAAAGGACTCAGTTTCCATTACAGCTTGCAGCTGGGAAGACTGTTCACCGTTCACAAGGAGATACTTTGGATAAGATTGTTGTTCAACTTCCAGACAAGAAAAGTCCTCATATGCACTATGTTGCCTTAAGCCGTGTGACAACTCTAAGTGGTCTAAAAAATTTGAACCCTTTCAATCCAGACAAATTCACTGTTTCAGAAGATGTTAAGACAGAAATGGCTCGTTTGAGGGATACAAGTGAAGTTTCTTTATGTTTCACACCCATTTATACATCCCATCATGTATTCAGCATCTGTTTCCTCAATGCTCAAAGTCTGCCACTGCATTTGCTAGACATCAAACAGGACAGAAATCTCATGGCAGCTGATACTTTAATGCTTGTGGAAACCAAACTATGTTCCAAAGATAAATCTGATACTTTATCAATCCCTCATTTCGACATTCATCTCTACGATTACAGTGACAAAAGATCTCCATATGGTACGATTATCTACACAAAAACAGACAAAGTGTGTGTTGGAAATGAAAACAAAGCTGTCAGTCAACTCGAAATAGTGTACATCCACATAACACAACCACTTTGTATAAATGTCTTCTCTGTTTATGCAAAGCCTAATACAAAGCTAAATACAATTATAAAAGACATTAGTTCTGTACTAGAAGGTATAACTGGATTGGTTATTGTAATGGGAGATTTCAACTGTGAAGGACAGAGAAAACTGCAGTTAGAAACACACATGAAAACATATGGGTTGCAGCAAAAAATTCTCATGCCTACAACTAACAACAACACCACCTTGGATCTGGTTTTCACTAATATACAAGTCACCAATGTAGGTATACTTGAAACATACTTCAGTTACCACAAAACTGTGTTTCTAACTGTACCAACCCATACCTCATAATACAGTAGAAAGATAAAGGGACCTGCGTAAAACTTCAAGACATTGACTCATGAATCAGTCTTAATTTAATGACAATATTACGAGGTGAGAGAATAACAGAAACAGTAAAAAAAGGAAAGTGCCGTAACTAAACCAGCTTACTGTACGCAACATCATGTATTGGAAGTTCATTCGCACTAATTTAAACTTATTTTCACACATTTTAAGGCTGTTAGAACACACACCTATGTTGTAATTAGCACCTACCATACAAGTTGATGGGTAACATCTTCCTGTCCAGAAAAGGCGTGAAAATATCCTGATGTTGGCGGTGTCAAATTTAAAGAAGGACTTCAACTTTTGTTTGTATAATACAATGTTCAGTATAATAAATTTTGTAATTGTTACTTTTTCCACATTACTAAAAACCACTCAAACATCTGTAAAGTCAATTTACATTTCCAATAAACTTTCCAATGGCCCCTCAATACAGTTGGCTATCATCAGGCAACACATGTGATCACTTATTGATGTTCTTGTGAGAGTTATGGCCCTTTAATAATTTTTATCAGATAACTCAATTGGTACCGTTTATCAAATTTAAAGGAAACTTTTAAGGATTGATCAGAAGCTCAAGTATATGGGCATATCACCTGAGGTCTTCCTCCACCAGTAAAAGCTGGAACGTCGCGATATGACCTTTACTGTGTTGATGTGACGTAAAACCCAAAGCAAACAAACAAATAAAATATGCGCATATATTTCACAAGTTTTCCAGTTGAATGATTTGTTACTGATTTATCGCCCTTGAATATATACATTGTAACATGTTTTGTCCTGTTAATCATTTTTGTGTCTTCCACTGCACTGAAGCTGCAACATGAAATTGGCCATATGAGGCGACACATGTGATCACTGAT